AGGAACCAAAACAAAAAGGACCAATTTATTTTGCTTACAGCCCGAAGACCCTTTAGCCAGCATCAAACCCAAAAACTCTCTAGCTTTTTCCAGCATTATATACTGTACTTACAGCAAAAGGAGCATTCACAATGCAGTTTTAATGAGGTTTTAACACTACCCATAACAAGGTTTCACCCAGGTCTTAACACCGCAATGGAAATGTGTCACACAAGAACGGCTATAGAAGAGAAATTAAACATTGCAATAAGGGGAAAAGGTTCAAAAATACTAATAAAACATATGAATGAAGACTTAGAAACCATTACAACCAGATATGAAAACATTCACTCTTTAGTTTAATGGAAGTTTGGGGGATTTGCTAAATGGGTAATTAAGAACAAACTACCTCGTTTGACAGTAGTGTATATCTTGGAGTTGTTTGCTTGGCCAAATGCAAAATGACTTTGTTAAAATGAGAATACAAATTCAAAATAATGTAATGATAGGCATTCTTCTAATAACATTTTAAAGTTTAGATAGAGAGGGTTCTGTTTCCCGTCTTTTCTTTTTATGCCCATTGATCTTCCTTGTCCAGAAAACCTTCACAGGTATATAATGTGCCAGGTACTCTGATCCTTATATGTTGAAAATACACTTCCTGACATATGAAGGAGTAATATTCTTAACTAAGGAATATCATTTTGTTCCTGCACAATCCAAGTTCTTAATTCCTATATAGCGTTAACGTTTGTTTATAATCTTTGCAGTGGTTCTCAAATTTCTCCAAATTGAAATCTCCCTCTCATCTAACTGGAAAGGGCAGGACAGTTGCATTCCCAAGGTTGAATATATATGTCTAAGGGTTCAGAGTAACAGCCGTGTTAGTCTGTATTCGCAAAAAGAAAAGGAGTATTTGTGGCACCTTAGAGACTAACCAATTTATTTGAGCATAAGCTTTCGTGAGCTACAGCTCACTTCATCGGATGCATACTGTGGAAAGTATAGAAGATCTTTTTACACACACAAAGCATGAAAAAATGGGTGTTTACCACTACAAAAGGTTTTCTCTCCCCCCACCCCACTCTCCTGCTGGTAATAGCTTATCTAAAGTGATCACTCTCCTTACAATGTGTATGATAATCAAGTTGGGCCATTTCCAGCACAAATCCAGGTCCCCCCCCCCCCCACACACACACACACAAACCCACTCTCCTGTTGGTAATAGCTTATCTAAAGTGATCACTCTCCTTACAATGTGTATGATAATCAAGGTGGGCCATTTCCAGCACAAATCCAGGGTTTAACAAGAACGTCTGGGGTGGGGAAGGGGGGTAGGAAAAAACAAGGGGAAATAGGTTACCTTGCATAATGACTTAGCCACTCCCAGTCTCTATTCAAGCCTAAGTTAATTGTATCCAATTTGCAAATAAATTCCAATTCAACAGTCTCTCGCTGGAGTCTGGTTTTGAAGTTTTTTTGTTGTAATATCGCAACTTTCATGTCTGTAATCGCGTGACCAGAGAGATTGAACTGTTCTCCGACTGGTTTATGAATCTTATAATTCTTGACATCTGATTTGTGTCCATTTATTCTTTTACATAGAGACTGTCCAGTTTGACCAATGTACATGGCAGAGGGGCATTGCTGGCACATGATGGCATATATAGATAAGCTATTACCAGCAGGAGAGTGGGGTGGGGGGAGAGAAAACCTTTTGTAGTGGTAAACACCCATTTTTTCATGCTTTGTGTTTATAAAAAGATCTTCTATACTTTCCACAGTATGCATCCGAAGAAGTGAGCTGTAGCTCACGAAAGCTTATGCTCACATAAATTGGTTAATCTCTAAGGTGCCACAAGTCCTCCTTTTCTTTTTATGTCTAAGGGTATGTCTTCACTGGCACTGGAAGCAAGCCTCGCAGCCTGGGTAAACACTCACGCTAGTGTGGCTTGAGCTAGCACACTAGAAATATCAATGCAGACATTTCAACTTGGGCAGATGCTCAGGTTCTCAAGCCCACCTGACCCCCACCCCTATGTTTGAGAGCCCAAGCTCCAGTCCAAGCCACAATGTCCATTCTGCTATTTTTAGCACATTAGTTCAAGTCCTGCTAGCACAAGTCTATCTACCCGGCCTGGAAGGCTGGCATCTAGCTGCCACACAGACATACCATTCATTTGAGCATTCACAGGTTCTGCTTAGTACTAAAACACAAAATTTAGGATCTGCTTATTTTGAATGTTCTAAAAGGCATTAATAATAAATATGTAAATAATAACAATGGAAATATTTATGACATGTTAAGGGAAAAAGAGAGAAAGCAAAACAGCCAAATGCATTATATTTCAGCCTCTGAACGTGGAACATCAACTGAACAATATAAAATTGTCATAAGCTTCCTGTGTAAGTGAAAATATATCTCACTACTTGACAATTAATGGAATTATGCAACCACATTAAAAACCATTGTGGGACAGTTGGAGTTGGTGGTTTTTCCAGGAAGTATTGTAACTATTAGTCTTGGTAAATTCATTCTAGTTTGAGTTATAGATTTAGTTCTTTTACAGTCACTGTCTATTAACGAAAATTAGGTTTCTCCTTTCCTATCCTTTCAAGAGACCTACCATACTTACTTTTTTCGTTCTCTGTTTACTTTCTAAGTTTTTTAATTTCTCTGGCTTGATGTGTTCATTTTATGTAATGTTTTGGTGTTCTGGGCCTCTAAGTTCAAGACAGTATTCTACTCTTAAAGGAGCACAACAAACATCACAGTTTTGGATAATATAGCCAAATATTTGCTTGACAATTTGAACCATGGCTTTCAAGTCCATAATTAAAGAGACGTGTCAAAACAGTTAAGCTCAAATGTATGTTTAGGGTCAAAAACTCTGTTTATAACGCTCTATAATGCTGTCTAAAAATCTTTGCATGTTTCATTTAAAAAACAGCCACCAATCATTGCAGCAGTGAGCGATTTAAAAAGCTATCAAAATTGTACAGGTTCTGGATATACATTTATGTACATGCACTATTAGAAATGGAGGACTCCTGGAAGAGGAAATGTATTCACCTGAAGTCACCATACTATTTGGCTCCCCACTATCAGACACCTATACAATTGTGAAATAGGATTTTCCACAGCCTAACCTTTAGATGAGTCCTTTTGTTAGGTATGAATGCCTGATCAGTGATCCTAAAATAATTTCTGCAATACATAAAGCCCTTTCTAATTACAGTAGAATAATCACAGTTCTGTGTTTGGTTTCAAGGTGTTTTTTTTTAATCCAAAATATTCTTTTTTAAATTATTGGGGCTGTCTAACAAGTCCCTCAACAGTTTAGACTAATTTATAGGATTGATATGTGCCTTTGCTTGTAAATTACTGTTCATTTGAAAGAGGGCTGCAAGGTAAACCACTGAGAAAAGATGAAAGTAAAACCAACATAGATTTCTAATATTTCAGGTTTTTTCTAGTTTGCCAAATAACTAGAATTGCCAAACGCAGAAAGTATTTCACACAATACACAGGATAATGCTTGTCTGACTGCTTGCAGGTATTTAGAGCTCAACTGCTTGGAAAGGAATAATTGCTAATTACTTACACTGTGAACTTATTTGCATCACTTGATTGTATTTTGGAGGGCAGGGAGTTTTTTCTAAGTGTAGTTATTTGTAATAAATCTCTGACAAACAGTCACTATAGTGATGTCTCAAAACAAACAAACAACAGCTAATAATGAAAAACCTATATCAAAAACAAATTACTGGCACTTTCCATGACTAATTCAGACCTGTCATCCTGCTTGTCATTATTTTTAAAATTAGGTCAGTCAACAATTAATTTTAAATTGCAAACATAACAATGAGAGGAAAGACAAATGCCAGATTGGTAAATCCTGTTGAAAAATTAAACTTAATTTTTAAAAGTACCAAAGAAACCACAACTTTCCGAAATAGGACTGTGCCATCAAACCTGGATTTTTACAATGCCAAGAAAAAGTTCTTATTTTAATCATTTTCATACCAGCTGTTTTCTGAATGAAAAATACTCTAACATCTTTGAACCTGGATTTTGAAAAAGGAACTGTAGCGTTCCATTATGTCATTTACTTCAAATGCAGAAAAGTCAGGACAGGATTTCAAAACTTTAACACAATATATTACTACAAAGGACAATAGGGAGAAGGTGAGCTAAACTTTATGGTCGATGATCTATTAGGAAAAAACCGAGAACAAATAAGTTTACCAATTTAGTAATTATGCCCTCAAAAAAAATCCCTTAATTGTGTAGTAGTGACACTCTACAATCAAAAGAGGTTGCTACAATGACATGTATTTATAGTTATCAATATATTCTTTCAGAAACACTAAGCTGAGGAAGCTACAGTCCACGGGGAGGGTGGGAAATAATTTATTTCGTATATGAAGATTAGAGAAGTCTGAGAGTTACAACACGTATGTATGCGTACACTGAACACTTCCTTGGGAATGTTAAGCGCTCCTCCTCCTATAAAAGTGAAAATATTCCTATACACTATGAATGCTCCAGTGGATGGCAGTGCACAGAAGCCAATCGGTGCTGAGTGACAGGGTTAATGTTTCACTCTTCACAGGAGTCCACTGGTTTCTATGAGATATTACTCATAGCAGGCTCATGTTTTTAGATGAAATCCATGTGTGTAACATAAGTAGGTCAACTCTTCCTCAGGTGATATTGATATGCCTTAGAATACTTGTTGTTACCATAACGCGATTGCCATTAATAGACAAATAAATTACTTCCCTACATTTAATTAAACAGCAGAGTCAGCTTGGGTATTTAACCTCCCCGGTCAAAGATTTCCAGCTCAACCGTGTAGACCCAGGAAGTTCAAATAAGACGTTTGAGTATTATCTGAACTAAACCTCTAAAACTTTTGGGATTTTCTGAACATTACTGAAAACTGTCCATACATCTATGTGTGAATATACATCCCTTACCGTGCAGGGTTTCAATGTTGAATATGCATTATACTCACAGCATACTGAAATTTTTCATTATGTTCAGGATCATTGGCTTTCACCCTCCGCTCCTCCTCTGAAAAAAGAAAAAAAACCCACCATAGTATCTTAAAAGACCAAATAGAGCTGAGAACAAAAGTGTAAGAGATCAGTATATAAACAACACTTCATTAACTTTTAGGAACACTCAATAGACCAATTCTTTATTAAAATCCCAATATAGTTCAACTTTTAAAAAGCTAATCTTCAGACACTTTAGATAGTTCAATATTAGAGAGAGAGATTTTTTATTTTGCAGTTTCCAGGAATTACTGTTTCAAATGTAATCACCAGATCTCTCGAGGCCAGCAGTGCTACAAACCAAAATGTCACAAAATCCAATAATGCTCTCACAAAGAAAGTGACAGTGCATTCTGCTGTCATGTAAAAGCATATGCCACATTAGTATTCTCGTGCTTGACTAAAGAGGCAAAATGCACTGGTGAGATTATGGGCTAAATTATGGCTCTTCCTTAAGGAGTTCACTTAACAGGAGCACAGGAAACCCCTCTCCCAACACAGAAGGCAACCATAAAGTGGCTTTCTGATTATCTGACTACAAGGGGTGGAGAGTAATATTAAATACACACCCCAGAAGGGGTCATGTCTAAGTAACTAGGAACGTCACCAGTGCATTCTTCCCTGTCCACTGGCTATGGCCAGAAGGGCAGTGAGGGAGGTCAGGGAGAGAGGGAGAGATTTTAAGGAGAATATTTTATTTTTAAGAGGCGTAACAAGTTAGTGCTGAGCATGTTTCCCCCTGCACTGTAGAGACATTATGACAGATTGCACTCTGTGCATGATCAAATTTGATTCCTAAAATAAACTAAATTTTACCAGATTAATTTTATAACCACATGCTAATTTATTGAATAGAACATTATTCAAATGCTAATAGATAAAAGATACAATAGTTTAAATGTGAGCAAATAATTTTACTCCTGTTAGAACAGGTTCAGTAAATAATACCTACTCTCTTGATGTCAGATAGTTAATGGTTTTGCCCCATGTATTTCCACTGAAAACTCCATGAAATAAAGGTTTGTGTGTTTATTATATTTTCCATCTACAGTAGAGTCTTCACTATACATATCAGTCCAACAGTTGGATAAACTCACATTCACTAGATTTCATACTATATGTTAGGTAATATGATTTGTTTCCTGATACTTTCTACCTTTATTATTTGTATTACTGACACCCCCATGGTTTGAAACCTTTAGATCCACCACACAAACCTCTGCCACTTGATCTAATGGCATAACCTATAGCGGTCATAGGTTGTCATCTTCTATGTGGACCAGCACTAGAGGGCAATGAGGCACAAACTACATTTGTGAGTTTCACAGATATCAGAGGACAGCAAAGGGATGGTGAGACACAGGAATCTTTGGTTCCACCCCAGGCTCTGGAGGAAAGTGTCCTCTAGTTGGCAGATTCTTCTGCCTATTCTCAGAGGGGAGGTCACTGAGCATTGCAGAGACAGGCTCCCTGGTCTCAGTCCTCGTGCCCCGCTGCACCTTGGCCTGGAGCAGCTGGAGGCAGCAATAACAGAGGAAGTCCAGCTTTACCCCTCTTTCCCTGAGCAGAAGCATGCTCAGCCACTCTGTGGGAATTATGCATGCACAATCCAGCCAGAGGTAGAAGCCGTGAGGGGATGGAGCATGCTCAGTTGCTCTGGGAGGATGGCACTTCCTCATACCCAGTCTGTTCAGCACTAGGACCTGTGAGAGGCTCAAGCACATTCAATGAGGATGGACTCTTCAGAGATTTAAGATGTTGAAATCAAAGAAGTCTCTACTAATCACATGCAGAATACGATCTTTACAGTTTAGCCAAATTCGAGCAGATTTTTAATAGCAATGGCAAAGGGTACATCACTGACACAAACGCCACCCCATGCCAAATTTTAAGTCTCAGCTTCAAAACATTTCAAAGAAAAGACTACTAGAATTTTTTTAACATGGGAAAAACAATGTGTCTTTCTTTAACCACTTCCTTAAAAATAGCTCAACTATTTTGGCTGAAATTTTCAAAACAAAATTCAGCCTGAGGCAAACATCAAGCACAGAAAATGTCAACCCAAACAATTAAAGTTTGGCAAACTTAGAGGCAACTGAAAACAGGGTCTTACAATGGGAAGAGTCAGGCAACCTTAATAACAGGCAACACTACCAGCCCTACCTATAATCTGAGGAGTTACAACTCATTATATTAGGTTAGTTATTCTTCTCACTGTAACAGGATGATATTGTGCTACTGGCAAACCAGGTGCCAGCTCATGCCCAAATCACCATGTCTCAACTGAACACTAACAAATACGTAGCTGGAATGAATCTGACTCATCTCTGTGTTAGTATTGTTAAAAACAGGTATAAGAATTATGAGAATGTGCTTAGTATTTAGACTTTATTGGATGCTTGTGAATTGCTGCATGCATTAATCTCACATATAACATCAGTATCCCATATTCTAAGGTAATATTTGAGCAGTTGTATTGTAAGTTTCTGTGACTATCAGACAGGAGAGACACATTAATCAGTGTGAACTGCTGAGCTGTAACACAAGGGGTTTCCCAACAGGAAAGGTCCATCAACACCAGGTGGACTACTCTGGGATGTTAAAGAGGACAAAGGACTTTCGGTTAGCCCTAAAGGACATCTAGAGCTTGATTATAGAAGCTTCTATTATGTTTTGAAACTTAAAGTTGTAACTGGTTTGTATATATATGTTTACCTGCTTTAACTTTGCAAATAACTCTCTTATTTCCTCTTCCTATTTGTGCCAGGGTGCTAAGCAGAAAACTGCTTAGCCAACCCCCTGTCACTTCAGCTCCAATTCGGGGAGGTGAATTGGACCTGGGTAGACCACCTGCCCCTGATTGGGGAAGCTTGAACAGCTGCTGCCTCATCAGGCTGGGGCTGCATAAGAGCCCCAGGGGAAGGAAGCCAGGGCGGAGCTGGAAAGAGGAAAGCTGCAGTAGAGGAAAGGCAGTGAGGGGAAGCAGAGAGAGATAGCTTGCCCCCTCTCTCCTGCTGGTGGACTGCAAGAAGGGGACTACTTGTATGGTGGAAAGGTGGTGGGAGAACAGCCTGCAAATAAAAGCACCAGGTGGGCACTGCACCAAAAGGTTTCTGTGTGACTTTCTCAGCCCAGCGGGGGCAGGAGCCAGGAGGACCCTGCAGGGACGCTGCTACATTATTTAATAAATCTTCATATATTTTATTATAGGACAGGTTACAAGCAATGTCTTTGATGTGAGATCTAAGGTGCAGTTGACCTGGGGTTAAGTGACTGGTCCTTTGGGACTATGAGTATCCTGAATATTGCTGTGATTCTATCAAAAAGGTAGACTCACCTGCTGGTGAGACAGATCAGAATACTCAAGGGAACTGTCTGTGATTCCATGTTAGGGCTGTTATAGTGTTGGGGTCTGTTATAGTGTCTGAGGAGTTTACACTTGATTACTGGTTCGTGAAATCTAAGTATAGAACTCACAGCCCATTTGGGGTTTGTGCCCTGCTTCCTATCAGTCTGCTCGGAGCCTCACCAGCAGCATTACAGATATGCTACATTTGAGAAAAAAAAAAAAAACAAACTTCTGTCATATTGAACAGATGCTTCTTTGCACTGTTGATAATCTGACTCAAATTATTTCATCTCCCACAGGATGCCCACAACAGCCAATTAATTTATTTTGGTCACAACTGGTTTATCATTAACAGAAGTGTTTCTAGCTCACTAGGTTTCTTTAATCAGCAAAGACACTTCAAAAAAAAACAAACAACAAAACAAAAACATGCCAAGACCTGTATATAAGAGAAAAGTAACCTCAGCTCTAAAAGGGAACAAAAACTGTAGAATACACTTTAATCCAATAACAAAGCAAATATATGGGTACAATCTGAAGAAAGCTGAAACTGTCTAAACTTAATTATTAAACCAAGACCAAACTGAAAAAAAAAGTCCTAACCTTTGGCTAATATATTTTAAAGATAGACAAAACAAGACTTCCTCCAAGAGAGAAACTAACTAATAATGTATCAATAAAAAATTAAACCTCTGAGGGATATGCTTCCACAGCCCATACCACAGAAATAACATTAAGCTTCCCTGTGCACTAGAGCAGGGAACAGTAGAACCTCAGAGTTATGAACACCTCAGGAATGGAGGCTGTTCATAACTCTGAAACATTCGTAATTCTAAACAAAACATATTAAGGTTGTTCTTTCAAAAGTTTACAACTGAACATCGACTTAATGCAGCTTTGAAACTTTACTATGCAGAAGAAAAATGCTGCTTTTAACCATCTTAATTTAATGAAACAAGCCCAGAAAACAGTTTCCTTCCCTTGTAAAATCTTTTTTTAAACTTTCCCTTTATTTTTTTAGTAGTTTACATTTAACACAGCACGGTACTTACTTTTCTTTTTGTCTCTGCTAGTGCCTGATTGCGTACTTCCTGTTCCAAATGAGGTGTATGGTTGACCAGTCAGTTCATAACTCTGGTGTTCGTAACTCTGAGGTTCTATTGTATACCTATTAGTTCAGTCTGAGAGTTTTCAGTTAGAACAATGACATTTCTACATCCTAAACAGCTCTGCAGGCAGCAGAGTTTTGCTAGTCTGGGGATATTCATTTGTATGGTATGCAGAAAAAAAAACGACTATCTAGCTTTTGGATAGGCTAATTTAAAATGCAAAAAGACACAGCACACTTCACCATTACACTTCAGACAGAACAAGAACATTTTGGTCTTTGTTTTACATCCTTTCAGCTGGATGCCAAGGATGACTAATTCCCTTAGGTTCCTTCAGAAGTCCAAGCCTAAATCTTTGAGTTCTGTATTCTACATTTTGCATGACAAGAAATATACAAAGCCTAGAACACAGGACAAAAAATATAATGCAATTAATATTTGAATAAATAGGACCAAGCCAACCAGTATAAAAATAACAAAGAAACATGCAGTAATTAATGATACTCATCTTCCATCTGTGTAAAAAATCATTTCTACCTGATACTTTATTCTTGCTAT